AAATAGGTCGAATTGAATTAAATCTTCTTAATGTGTAATTTCATTCGTGACCACTTATTACTACAATATGTTCAATCACGATGGGGCATGGTCGCTTATTGGGGGCTCAGTCAATGTATCTGGGGAGATGTTCAATCAGTCACACTAAGCTATAGGGCGCCATACAAGGTCTTCAACTAGTTTGGGACATCGGATACAGGAGAGTGGAACGACCGTCCACCTTCTTTCTGAGTCCGCCTCGACGGACAACCAACACGCCATCCTTGGGCTTTTGTTCCAGGAACTCCGGAACTGTGAATGGGGGCTCATAGTTTTCCATGTGCATAGGGAAGCTAACTTCCTTGCTGATCATTTGGCTCACTTAGGGCACTCTCTTAGTCCGGGCACCCATCTAGTAGATCCCCGGGATCCTTACATTGGTCACTGGAAGTTGTATGACTTTGTGGGCGATTTCACCGTTCGTTCGATTACTTAATTGAGATTGCGGTGCTTTGCACCGTTTTCACCAAAAAATTACTACGATACGTTGATGGCATGTTATAAATCAACCCATATTGACTTGTAACTGTTATGTTTGTGCCATGTTCTAAATCGCCCCAAAATGACATGTAATCGTTTTGTTTCTGTCATATCGAAAATAAACTAATGTGTACACAATTCCACTTACGATAAGATGTAACTGTTATGATAATGATTCGATTCAAACTAGCTGATTGATTCAACTCATTGGGAATGAGATGGGATGCTAACCCGTGAAGGGGTTACCACTGTGCCAACTTCTATCAGCTTCGTCCATAGTTGTTTCTTTTAATTTGACGGTTCCTTTGCGTTGGGGTTGTTTTGGGTATTATAATATTTAATGATTTTATTAAATAAGCGTGGTTTCACGAAGAGGGGTGGATTTTGGGGATCTGAAGAATTTCAGCCCTTCTCTTCCTCTACTTTCCTTTTCTTCAACTTCTGATATATCTCCTCCGTCGCCGCCATATTTCCAAATTAAAACTGTCTCACTCGATTTTCCTTTTCATCCTCCCTCTTCTGGATCACTCTGGCATTGCTCCCTGATTCGTTAGTCTACTGCATCATCTCGCTCCTAGTTGTATTCTTCGCTAATCTGTTTCAGCTTCCCTCTCTGGCAGTTCTTTTTCGTATTCACTTTGATTTCATATACGTCTTACCCATTTGCATGGCTCTCCTCGTTAGCTTGCTATGGCGGAATGGTACTTTAATGTAGCTGTTTGATTTCAGCCCACTGTAGTAGTCTTTTCGTGATAGCTATTACTGTATATCTTTTATTTTTTATGTAGTAGTGGTTTGATTATTGTGATTTCGTTTGTGAAGGAGTAGCCTTATTGCAGTGTTTTAGTGTTTTTTTTTTTTTTTTTTTTTTTTACTTTTGGCACTTTGTAGTAGTGTTTTTGTTGCGTAGTAGTGGTTGTAACAATCTCCACTATGGACAACAATCAGATTATGTTACCTATTTTCTCATGTAAAATCACTACCATTGTAAAACACTGCTACACTCATGATTAACAAGCACCATAAATAATGGATGATTGTAAACGCTATTACTATCTCTGAAATTGCTACTACAAGCCATCAGCTAAGGAATGAAATCGCTGGCATATATAAACAACGACCATTGCAAAACACTATGATTTGTTGTGAAATGTGAACACTACTACCTAGAACAATAACTACTAAAACCCATCGTCAAAAGCAGTAATATTACTGTTTTTTTTTAATAAGAGGAGGCAATAGCCAAGGTTACAAACATAGGCAGTGCTGGTGGCTTACACCACTGCACAAGAGCAGAGGGCCAACAGCAGCAGAGGACTCATACCAAAATTCAAAATCCAAAGCCCAAACAAGTGGCAAGCAAGAACACCAACCAACCAACCTAGTCTTTGCTCAGCAGAACTCTCCGAGGGAAACTAACCCCCACAATGTCATCAAGCAAAAAATTTTCAAGCTCTCTAGGTGGACTTGCTACTTCACTCGTACCGAAGGGATAGACGAGACTGTGCTTCGAGAGCCAGTCTGCGGCTCTATTCCCTTCTCTGTACGTGTGAACCAGCCTGACCACCCAGTTCTGAGACAACATACATCGATGCGCTCCTGACTAGCTTGATCCGGCGTCATGGCCTGATAAGCCGAGCTAACACTGAACCTACCATTGGGAGTAATTCTCCAAAAAAGAGTATCGCCCTCACTGGTCGGAGGATCCAGCCAAACAACCCGCATTTTATCAATGACTTCGGGCGGGAGGTATGGCTGAATCTCCTGAAAATTCCACGCTGTATTTGCGTCCTAGTAGTCAGCAACCATTTTGTCTCTGAACTCCAAAGGGACCTCAGTCGTCGCCAGCTCCACTAGAGGTTCCTGCATAATCCACACATCATACCTGAACTTAGTGCCATGCCCATTTTTAACATTGAAAGCAATCCCTTTTTTCAAAAGGTTCGCAGTTTGGGAGAAACTGTTCCAGGCAAAGGAACTTCCCTTTATATTACTGAGCATGTGAATCCCCTTCCTATCCCTACCATACTTGCTCCTCATAGCTCTAGCCCAGAGTTTTTGATCATCCGTCACAAGGCTCCAGGCCCCTTTGGCCAGTATAGCTTGATTAGCAAGTCTTGTTGGCCTAATCCCCACACCCCCTCGTTGTCTTGGCAAGGTCATCTGCTCCCAAGCAATCGGATGGAACTTCGTCTTGCCATCCTCCTCTCCCCACATGAATTGCCGATTGATCCTGTCAAGAGATTTACAAACAGAAGCAGGTAATCGTTCGGTAAACATAGGATAAATTGCCATGGAAGAGGCTATGGATTTCACCAGGGTAATCCGTCAAACAACTGAAAGATGATTAGCTTTCCATGAAGCCAACTTCTGTTGAATTTTCAGAACCAATTCCTGGTATCTGGCTGCACTGATCCTGCCATTAATAGCTTTTAGACCCAGATATCTGCCTAGATCACTGGTAAGAGTAATCACAGCCCTTGCACTGAGTCTTTGCGCTCTGTCTCTCTGGTATTAGGGGACACAAACATAGCTGACTTGTGCAGGTTCACTCTCTGTCCCGAACTCGAGCAGAAGTCATCCAAGCACGATAGAATCACATCAATCTGTCCACCTTCAGCTTCAGCGAATAAAATCAGATCGTCAGCAAAGGAAAGATAAGACAACTTTGGACCACCCTTGGAGAGAGAGAGTGGTTTCCAAAGTTTCTCCTCTACAGCTTGCTCAATACAATGGGCTAATTGTTCCATACATAAAACAAAGAGAAAAGGGCATAAGGGATCTCCCTGTCTGACGCCTCTAGTAGGATTGATCACCGAGGTCAGCTCGCCATTCCAATTGATCCGCATTTGATTCCTCTCCACGCACGTCATAATCCTGCTAATCCAGGAACTAGGGAGGCCTATCTCCCCCAAAGTGTCCCGAAGAAATCCCCAATGAAGGTGATCATAAGCCTTCTTGAGATCAATCTTGATAACCAGACCTCCCTTAGTCCGTTTCCTTTTCCTCAGAGAATGAAGGATCTCCTGTAGCAATAAGATGTTGTCATTTGTTTGCCTGCCCTTGATAAACCCACTCTGGGTCGGAGCTACTAGACTTGGCATAAGAGGCTTGAGTCTGTTGGCTATCGATTTGGTTATGGCTTTCAAATCCACATTTTTAGACTGATGGGTCTGAGCTGAGCCGGAGTTTCCGGATGGTCAACTTTGGAATAAGAACCATCGTGGATTCAAAAACCTCATCCGGGGGATTTCATGTTTCAAAAAAATGAGTAGCCATCTCAGTCAGATTCTTTCCCACAAGAGACCAGAATTTCTGGTAGAAAACAGCCTGATACCCATCAGGCCCAGGAGCCGACATCGGCTTCATCCCAAAGATGGCTTTATGATAGTCTGAGATATGAAAAGGGTGAATTTCTAACCTGTTAAATCTCTATCAATCAAAGAGAGAGACGTGGAGGGAGAGAGATGGAGTAATTTCTAAATTTTTTTCAGAGTAGGCATTCCCCAAAATAATAACCGTCCCCAATTAAGGCCCATTAAATTCACATCTCCATATTACTGTAAATAATTAATAATTTTGCCATTTTAATTTTTATGTTATTTTCTTATTATACACTATTTAATATGGTGCTAACGCTCTATAGATTTAGCACCCTATCTTCTCCCAACTCATTGTCAATATATACTACACACTACAAAACAAATATCTATAAATTAATATGGCCGGGACCATAGTGAATAAATTTTGAAAAAGACGTAATGAACTTAAGCATATGATTAATGGTATGGATTATCATTAGATGTAAGTAAGTTGCTTGAGTATCCAAGTGAAAATGATGAATGTATTTAGACACAAATTTTAGAAGATATTATGGCCAATGTCATTTGTAATTCTATTGAGGATGAAGGAGATGAAGATACAACACTTTTGAAACCGTTCACGCGAAATAAAACGCTTAATATTGCATCGACTCTTCAAAACTACATGTTGCAATTAGAGAATACAACATCGGAAATTTTGATTACAATGAGAAAAGTTCAAAATGAAGTTCCACTAAACTTGAACTTTAAGAAGAAACAAACAACTATAGATACATATTTTCCTAGATTATCATTGCTAGTGAAATTGTAAATTTCTTCATGAATTCTATTTTAATATTTTTACAATTTTATAATTGTTAGTTTGTGGAATTGAAAATAAGTTGGTTCTAAAAAATTATTAACTTATTATTTCATGAAATTTGTTCAATTTTTACATTGATCAAAGTGAAAATCGATGATCTGGATGATCTGGATGAACTCCCACTCACCCACTTTGACCTTGCCCGAACTGGTTGGCCAACATTACACAGGCGTGAAGCTAAGCTACCTCCTCTATAAATCATTACATCCAAAAATCCTGATACTTGGATAAAGCAACAAATGCAATCACAAGCTTTTACAATCATCTCCTCCACCCCCCACCGTAGCAACAAAAAAATGGACGGCAAAAGCACCAACGGCGGGGAAGGAATAGCCAAGAGGTGGAAGCAGCTGAGCGGGGAGGACAACTGGAAGGGCCTACTGGACCCACTGGATCTCGACCTCCGCCGCTACATAATCCACTGCGGCGAGGTGGCCCAGGCCACCTACGACGCCTTCAACACCCAGAAGAAGTCCAAGTACGCCGGCAGCAGCATGTACGGCCGGTCCGGTTTCTTGGGCAAGGTCGGGCTGGAAAACGGCAACCCGTTCAAGTACGAGGTGACCAAGTTCCTGTACGCCACGTCGGCGGTGAACCTCCCCGAGGGTTTCATTGTGAAGTCGCTGTCGAGGGAGGCGTGGTGCAAGGAGTCCAACTGGATGGGGTACGTGGCGGTGGCGACGGAGGAAGGAGCGGCGGCGCTGGGGAGGAGGGATATTGTGGTGGCGTGGAGAGGGACGAAGCAGAGTTTGGAGTGGGTGAATGATTTGGATTTCTTGCTGGTGTCGGCTCCTGAGGTGTTTGGGGAAGGGAGTGAGGTGAAGGTGCATGAGGGTTGGTATTCGATTTACACCTCCGATGATGCCAAGTCTCCTTACAATACCACCAGCGCTAGAGACCAGGTAATGAATCGAGCTTCAAATACGGTTTTGGACCAAAAAAATTTTTGAATTGACTAGTATCATGACATAGCTAGGAATTTATCCAAGGAGGTCAAATGCGACAAAAAGAAACTTAACATAAACTTTTATATTCGGAAAACGTTCTCAAAATACATTCATCATGTAAATTAATGATGAGTAATTTCATTCTTCAGGCACCTTATCAAATATTTCTTCACATTATTATATTCAATCCATTACATAAAAATTCCCTATCATATTCTTTTGGGTCAAGATTATGCAATGGACCTCCCTTGCCCTATATGATCCGACACTGACTAGTATGTTAATTTTCTCTAGCCTCTAATCAATCAATGAGGCTATCATGTGTTGATAAATTCCATGTTAACTTTTTCTAGTTAGCACATCCATCCATTTAAAAAAAAAATATTGAGTTATTATGGATTTAAGATCTCGGTAATTAAAATAACTAATTAAGGCAATCGCCACATCCATTCCAAAAGCAGCCTCTTATAATAAATATTGGTTTTTTGTTTGTTTAATAATAACATAATTTCATCTTTGGTTTGTCCACCGCCGTTTTCCAGCTAGGTTTTATAAAGGTCAAAGGTAGTTTTTTTATGTTTAATTTTTATCCAAAACTTTTTCAGATTCATTTATATTATTCAAACCTATTAAAAGCTATTAATTATTCAAATATTTTGTAATGCATCAAAATATTAGTTATTTTTACGTTATCGTTAAAAATTTTGTAATTCTTTTCTTAGTTAAAATACTAAAATTTTGGAATGTTGACCTTCATGTGTCTCTTCCAAGTCAGCATCATAGGGCCAAGTCAATATTGCTAACAAAATTGGTACCTGTAAGTTAACATTTGGATAATTCTTATTATTTCGATAGGTTTGGTTAATATAAAAGAATAGGAAAAAGGTTTGGATAAAAAATAGATATTACTCTGTTTTTTAACAAATGATAATCATATTGATTGATAAAAGATCACAAATTACAACCTGGACCCAATCCAGGCACGAAAATCATACAATCGACAAAAAGTCGGGGACAAAGAAAGGGTCTTTCTAGCCACTGAATGGGTACCCTATTGCTATTCCAACCCACGAACTGAACACGAAACCCACTATTCATACCCATTAGACTCAGAATCTAATTGATAATAGCCCCAACACCACTATCCCGCACACCTTTGGCACTAATCCTATAAACAAGTACCTTCATATCACCTTCGAATCGTACTTGAGGGATACTAATATTCTGACACCACTGAATAGCGTCACGGAGGACAATACTCTCAACCACAAGACGACAGTTGGCAAATCCACCTCTCCTCCTGATTGTGCTGCCGATGACCCTGCCCCAAGATCAATCTATCCTTCGGTAAAGACACCCACTCATGGAGATGTTGATGGTATTGACGCATCAGTTGGGAAACCAAGAACTGAATACCCTCAAAAGCCGCCCAATCTATCCCCCATCATGTTTACTCGTGCATAAGTTCTGCCAAGAAATCCATCTTATTCGCAGACGACCCCCTTCCACTCCCAACGAGAATCTAACAACATGCCAATCTAGAATTTGGCAAAGAGAAAGAGGAATTTTAATGCAGGACATAACATGTAACGTCTCCTTTGCCTCCCATAATAGCACCTTCTGCTTCCATCCCTACAACCGTGCCAATAACTTCTCCTCCAAATAATGGAAAGTAGTCATCTTCGACTACGCAATCAAGGTGGGTAAGCCCAAGTATTTATCATGGACACCAAACGCTCTTACACCGAGCCGGAGAGCTAGGGACTCTTGATCAACTGACAGAATATTCTTGCTAAAGCAAACAGTAGATTTAGCCAAGTTGACCCTCTGTCCACTAAGCTCCTCATATTCATTCAAAACCCCCAACAGTTTCTCACATTCTTGCATCGATCCTCTGAGGAACATATATGAATTATCCGCAAAGAAGAGATGTGAAACCCGCGGAGCTCTAGGACTAAACCCGCTAGCTAGCTTCCGCTCCCAATGGCCTTGCGTAATAGCGCCGCAAGACCCTCAGAGCAAATAACAAAGAGGATAGGGACAAAGGATTACCCTGTCAAAGTCCCCTAGTCGAGTTAAAATAGCCAGCTGGTGTAAGATTCATAATAACCCAAAACGAGGAAGAGCAAGCATTCCTGGATCCACTACACCCAAATCGGACTAAAACCTATTTTCCCTAAGATCGCAAGTAAGAACGGCCATTTAACTCTATCATAGGCCTTTTCCATATCAACGTTCAGATCCATATACCCTGTCTTACCCTTAGTCTTAATTTTAAGATAGTGCATCAAATCGTGACCAATGAGAACATTATCCACTATTTGTCTTTCATAAATAAATGGTTCTACCCTGACGAGATTATCGGGCTATGTCGTAAACCAGCAATCTTCACCATCCAAGTCCATCTCAACAACCAACATTAATGCAGGTTCTTTTTTTTATTGGATTAAAAATAAATTACCTCATTTATGCTGGCCGTTGAGATGGATGCGGACAGTGGAGATTGTCTGGTGTACGACATACACAGGTACTCATAGTAAGATATATCTATCTAGACTTTGAATTAAATCGAGGTTTGGGTATGATACTATACCCTAATCTCTAATAAATAAACTCCAGGCCTTCGTCGGTTCTCTAAACTCAAACCTGAAGTTCAATCTAATAGAAATTATTAATTGACCGTTGAGATGGTCGGAGCTCATAAAAGAAGATATGACGGTCATATAACATGTAGTATGGTATACTTCTGGAATATACCTTTCATTACCATATATATCATTTGTTTCATCAACCCAATTACTTATTCATGAGAAGCCTATACAAACTTTAAGGGAAGAAGGGGGAAATAAAGAAAATGTTTGATGTCTCAAAAGACACAACACTTAAATCACGTATAGATTCAAGCCATTTGGTGATTATTCACACAATTTAGTGCTTATTCAGGTAAAAATGTGGTTATTCATGCAAATAGAACTCCCATTTTTTTTTTCCTTTTTACTAATAATTTGTTTTGACTATATTTTAACGAATTAAACAATAATAGTAAAACAACTTTATAATTTCTATATGGTCTTTCATTGATTTTATCACTACTTATTATCCGAACTTCGCATAATAGGAGCTATATCACATTTAGCATGAATTTGGCCAGAATCAACAATAATGTCAAACAATTAGAGTTTTCAAACAACTTTATATGTTCTATATGGCCTTTTCATTGATTTTCTCTTTCTTGCATCTAAATGGTTGGACCAATATAGTAAGTGTCTAACATGTTGTTCAACACAACAAGCGACGATAACAAATTCAAGTAGAGACCCAAATTATTATATGTAATGATCAAATGAAATTGCTTTTTAACTCATTTCTCTATTGAATGAATGTATAACTCAACATCTTCTGTCAAGCACCCGGATTTAAAATGCAACTCCTCCGCCACCCCACGGCGCTGTGTGTCTCTCTCTCTCTCTCCGTTAGTGGGATGGGACAGTATGGGGTATTTCCTTTTCTTTTTCTTTTTTAATTTCGCAGAACAGAGTGAGATAGAGAAACAACCCAAAATCGTTCCGCCTCTCTCTCTCTAGCAGTAAAAAATTGGGGATATGTTATTTGAAATCGTTGGCGAGGCACAGCACACTATATTGGGATTCCTATTGTAATTGGCCATTATAGTAGGGATCATTATGTAATTCTCCTTTCCCCATGTAGTACGTAGCTAGGGGAATAGGTTGTATATAGCTGCTCGGCCACTTCCATGAAAACCCTAAGAGGGAAACGTGAATCTCATAATAATATTTCAGCCGAGAGCTGCAAAGCTCTCCGTGGACTAGTCTCGTTCAATACGAACGAGGAAACCACGTAAATCGTTGTGTTGTGTTCTTGTTTAGCTTCCGCATTCATCGAATTTTACATGGTATCAGAGCTGTGCTAAGCTTCCAGCGGTTTTATCACCATGAGTTCGGACGACGACTCGACCAACAAAGGCTCGAAGTCGGTATTGGAGACGGCTCCTGATTTGCAGCTAGGTCTCCCTTCTCATTTGCAGCTTCATCAATCCGAAAGCCCCAATAATCTGTTTGTTGGGGAGCTTCTTACTGACGTCAACTATGGGGAGTGGGTAGTTGATATCACTGATTCTCTCATAGCCAAAAACAAAATCTGTTTTGTTGATGGCACTCTACCCGCCGCGAAGACTCCTGCTGAAAGGGACGCTCTGCGGCGCTGTAATGCCATGGTCAAGGGATGGTTAAAAACATCCATGTCCAAGGAGGTACGTAACAGTGTTCGTTTTGCCAATACAGCCCGTGAGATTTGGGTTGATCTTCAATCCAGGTTCGGGCAAGGAAGTGCTTCTCGACTATATGAACTGAAGAGCACCATTATTGGTCTGCAACAAGAAAAGAATTCAGTTTCAGCCTTCTATACTAGGCTGCGTGGGCTGTGGGATGAGATTCAGTCTCTCACACCCTCGTTGGAATGTACCTGTGCTGGTTGCCATTGCGACGTTAAACGTCGGCAACGCGAGGTTCGCGAAGGAGAGCAGCTGTTTGATTTTTTGATGGGGCTCGACGATGCATTCGCCACCGTCAAATCCCAGATTCTCGCCATGAAGCCGGTTCCGTCTCTCGGCGAGGCCTATCAGCTCGTGATTAATGACGGGCAACAACGTCAGATCGCTCAAAACCGTCGGCCACGATCTGAAGCAGCCGTCTTTCAGGCTCAGGGGGAGCGGCGCCAAGATCGTTTGGTCGCACAGATGGATCGTGACCGCGAGAGAGATGCGGACGGCAAGCCAAAATGCTCACACTGTCAACGTGTTGGGCACTTCAAGGAAACTTGTTACAGGCTTATTGGGTTTCCTTCGAAGACTAATGAGAACAAAGGTGATCAGTCGAAGCGGCGAGGAGATAAAGGCTCTCGGTCGAATCCACAAGCAGCGCAGGTTGATGCCGCTTCCAGCCCGGTTCCAGGACTCACTCCTGCCCAATTTGCACAACTTAAGGCGCTTCTTGGCAGCGATCTCCGCCAAGGGTCCCAGGCTGACCTCGACCCCGTCTCTAATATGGCTGGTATGTTCTCTGGTAAACCTTCTACTTGGGTCATTGATTCTGGTTGTACAGAACACATAGTTAATCAATGCTCCCTTTTGGATACCGAGTTGGATTCATCTCCAACGTTACAGGTTAAAATACCCAATGGCACAGGTGTAAAAGTGAAAAGTATAGGCACTAGCCATTTATCAGCTAATATGCACTTGAGTCGGGTTCTTCATGTTCCTGAATTTCAGTGCAACTTACTCTCAGTCAGCAGACTTACAGCTGATCTACCGGTTGCATTGATATTCTTGAGTGACTTCTGTGTTATCCAGGACTTACCATCCAAGAGGCTGATTGGGATGGGTAAGCACGTGGATGGTCTTTATTATCTTCAGCTGATTGACGACAGGCATCCGATGGCGCACTCAGTTCAGCGAGCTGCGAGCAAGGCAGAGCTGTGGCATGCACGGCTTGGTCATCCTTCCCTGGCGAAGCTCAATCTGTTGGAGAAAGTTGTTGGTTGCTCTTTTATTCAATCTCGAGAACCGTGTCGATCTTGCTTGCGTGCCAAGCAGACTCGAAACCCTTTTGATAGCAGTACCATTAAAACTAAGTCTTGTTTTGAGCTTCTTCATATGGATATTTGGGGCAGTTATAAGACGCCATCTACTTCTGGTGCTCATTATTTCTTGACGATTGTGGACGATTATAGTCGTGCAGTGTGGGTGTTTTTGATGAAACATAAGTCTGCTGTTGCTCGTTATGTTCCTTACTTCTGCAACTTAGTACGGACTCAGTTTAATAAGCAGGTGCGGAGGATACAGGCGGATAATGGCCCTGAATTTTCGGCTAGTGCTTTGACTGGTTATTATGAGGAGAACGGAATCGTTCTTCAAACTTCGTGCACCGACACACCGCAACAAAATGGAGTAGTTGAGCGTAAACACCGGCATTTGCTTGATACTGCCAGAGCTCTCCGGTTTCACGCTAACCTTCCCATTCGTTTTTGGGGTGAGTGTGTACTCACTGCCGCCTATCTTATTAACCGTATGCCTTTGGTTAGCATCGGGAATAAATCGCCTTACCAGGTTCTGTTTGATGCCGATCCTTCTTATAGTCACCTCCGAAGTTTTGGCTGCTTGGTTTATGCGCGGGACAATCATCATGGACTGCACAAGTTTGGAGACCGTGGACGCGCAGGTATTTTTCTTGGCTATCCCTCCAGTCAGCGTGGTTATCGTGTTTATGACTTGGAGAAGAAAAATTTTTACACATCGCGTGATGTCAAGTTCTTGGAGGATGTTTTTCCCTATCGCGATCTTGCCGATGGTGGTTCTCTTACCCCAGCGTCCGTTTCACAGCCCAGTTTTGGGGTCCGTCCATCCGTTCTTGAGGATGATGATCTGGATATCATTTCTCCAGTACCTTCAGCACCCGAGGTGGTGCCTCCTGTTTCTTCTGAGGATGCCATATCCGCCTCCCCTCCTTTGGACGAGTCGGCCGACTTGGCTGGCCAGGAGACGCCCCACTCACCGTCCCTCTCTAGTGATGCAGCCTCTCCTGCTCACGTGGAGGACGTTCAGGAAACGGTGCCACCCCGTTCCACCGAGATGCCACCTGTGCGACGTAGTGATCGCACTAAAATCCCCTCCACTCGGCTCAAGGGATATGACGTTCAACTCCCCGGTGCGGCACATTCCGCTACTGTTCAGTATCCACTCGATGATTACCTCACTTATCATCGCCTATCACCTGCTCAACATGCCTTTGCTGCTGCTGTCACTTCAGTGGAAGAGCCTACTAGTTTCTATGAAGCCGTTAAGCATAAACACTGGAGAGATGCAATGCAACGGGAGATCGATGCCCTCATAGCTAATGGTACTTGGTCTCTCGTCACATTGCCTCCAGGTAAACGGCGCATCGCTTGCAAATGGGTTTTCAAGGTGAAGTTTCATCCAGATGGGACGGTCGAGCGATACAAGGCTCGTCTTGTCGCCAAAGGATTTACTCAAGTTGAAGGAGTTGATTTCCATGATACATTCGCTCCTGTTGCGAAGTTAGTCACTGTTCGCTGTCTTCTTGCAGTTGCTGTGACACGGAATTGGCATATTCACCAGCTTGACGTGAATAATGCTTTTCTGCATGGTGATCTCAGTGAAGAGGTCTATATGTCTATACCGCAGGGGTTTGCTCGTCCCGGTGACTCTCGCGTATGTCTTCTCCACAAATCTATCTATGGGTTGCGTCAAGCTTCGCGCAACTGGTATCATAAATTCACTCAAGCTCTCCTCGAGTTTGATTTCGTGCAAAGTCGAGCTGACCATGCTCTTTTTATTCATCGGCGAGGGTCATCTCATGTTGCTGCCCTCATTTATGTGGATGACGTTATTCTAGCTGGTAACGATCTCTCCTTCGTCAATCGTGTCAAGGGTTATCTTCATGATCGCTTCACTATTAAGGACTTGGGCACGCTCAAGTATTTTCTGGGTATTGAGGTAGCTCGGTCACCCCGGGGCATCGTGCTAAATCAACGCAAGTACGTTCTTGATATACTTGCAGACACTGGTCTGGAAGCAGCACGTCCTTCTCTTACTCCGATCGAGCAGCAACACCAGCTTGGTCGTTTCTCCTCTCCTCCTGCGGTGGATATTAGTGCCTATCGTCGTCTCGTCGGCCGCCTCCTCTATCTCACTGTTACGCGGCCTGACATTATGTACGCTGTTAACGTGCTTAGCCAGGCTATGCAGGCCCCCACTAAAGCACACGCTGATGCAGCGATTCGTGTTCTTCGCTACCTAAAGTCCTCGCCTGGCCGTGGTCTGTTTTTCCCAGCTACCACGCCCCTCACTCTCACTGCTTTCTGTGACGCCGACTGGGGCGGTTGTCCTCTCACTAGGCGCTCCACTACCGGTTATTATATACGGTTGGGTGCTTCACCCATCTCGTGGCGTACTAAGAAGCAACAGGTGGTTGCTCGTTCATCGGCCGAAGCGGAATACCGTGCCATGGCCAGCACGGTGAGTGAGCTGATTTGGCTTCGTTGGTTGCTTCGTGATCTTGATGTTTCTCCTACTGGTCCTACTCCACTGTTTTGTGATAATCAGGCAGCACTCCATATCGCTGCCAATCCGGTTTTTCACGAGCGCACCAAACATGTGGAGATGGATTGCCACTTTGTTCGTGAACGTGTTCAGTCCGGTGAAATTGCTCCTCAGAAGATTCCCACTTCCGAACAACCGGCAGATTTATTTACGAAGGGATTGAGCGTTGATCAGTTTCATCATCTCTTCGGCAAGCTCGGTCTTCTTGACATTCACTCCTTCGCTTGAGGGGGAGTATTGGGATTCCTATTGTAATTGGCCATTATAGTAGGGATCATTATGTAATTCTCCTTTCCCCATGTAGTACGTAGCTAGGGGAATAGGTTGTATATAGCTGCTCGGCCACTTCCATGAAAACCCTAAGAGGGAAACGTGAATCTCATAATAATATTTCAGCCGAGAGCTGCAAAGCTCTCCGTGGACTAGTCTCGTTCAATACGAACGAGGAAACCACGTAAATCGTTGTGTTGTGTTCTTGTTTAGCTTCCGCATTCATCGAATTTTACACACTATCTCTAATGGCGTCCTCCGCTGCCTGCAGAAATGGCGCTCCCAGAGGAGGAGGAGGCGTCAGGCCTCTCGCTGCCGGCAATCTAAGGAAGCATTATTTATTTAGAACTGACTGTATAGTAGAGATTACATAAAATCAACTTAGACACAGCGGCCGCCCTCCTCTGGTCCAGAGTTAGTATAGGACTTGTCAATATTCAAATTTAGGTATTTGTTTTAGTGCTCGTCGGGTTACGGCCGGTACTCTGCGTCTCTTTTCAAATGTGACCTAGTGCTCTACTCTATTTTGAATATGTTGTTGCGTAGACAAATATCGCGAAGGAATCGAGGAATAACGATGGCTTGAGTGATATTACGAAAAACACTGTGAAACCTTAGATGTTAAACATGTTTCAGGTTATGCGGAGTAATTGTTTTGTGGTTGATAGTATCAAATACTTTCAATGATAATAATTTGGGTCTCACATGCATATTGAAGGTTTGAGTCTAAGTGATGAGGACCATATATATAGTTTTAGTTTACTGAAAGTTAAAATAGTTATCACAAAATTAAAATTATATAAGTGACATAAAAAAAATTGTGGAGTTTGTTAAATTCTATGCAGTTGCAGTAACGGTTAGGCTATGTGGATAATATACAATTTTTATTTGAACCAGTGGCCATTCTAAATTAAACCACAAGAAAAAATTATGCTAGCTAGATTATTTACATTTTATGAAGCCCTCCTGCAACAACCAGAACCAGTTATCATGGCACCAACTACGTTTACTAGAAAATAAGATAAATGGTAACATGAATGAGTTTCGGTGAAGGTACTCGAGGAGGTAAGGAGGCTGGTGGAACTATACAGCAACGAAGAAATCAGCATCACGGTGGCCGGTCACAGCCTCGGAGCCGCACTCGCCACCCTGAATGCGGTGGACATAGTAACCAACGGCTTCAACCGATCGTCACTACTGTCAATCTCTTCCAGCTGTCCAGTCACAGCCATGGTGTTCGGCAGCCCACGCATCGGCGACTCCGCGTTCAAGAAGCACTTCACGCAGTACGAAGATCTACGCGCCTTGCGTGTCCACAACGCGCTCGACATCGTCCCTAACTACCCGCTGATTGGTTACGCGGATGTCGGAGCGGAGCTGGTGATCGACACCACAAAGTCCACGTATCTGAAGCACCCCGGGAACCAGTCGACGTGGCACAACCTGGAGGCTCACCTCCACGGGGTGGCCGGTACTCACGGGTCCAACGGGGCATTCCAGCTGGCGGTGGAGCGTGACGTGGCGCTGGTGAATAAGTCGTTGGACGCGCTGAAGGATGAGTACTTGGTGCCGGCGGCATGGCGTGTGTTGAAGAACAACGGGATGGTTCAGTTGTCGGATGGGTCGTGGAAGTTGCTGGATCATGAACAGGATATCGAGACTTGATTTGAATATGTGTTTTATATATATATAGATATGGTTTTCTGACGTGTAAAATTTAAAGGAAGTTATTTACCTACAGACTGGATTGTAGGGGTTCCTGCAACCAGTCCAGGTGTGAGTCCCTAATTGGTTATGTTTCTTCTTTTCATTTTAATTGTTCCCCCAATTAAAAGCTAGAACAAATTTCTAACGGAAGTAGGAACAACAACTAACGGGGTTGGTTGGGGTCTCATTTATTATATATTAGGTTTTCTTCGCCCGAGCTTTGCATTGGGATGGGTGTGACAACTAAGTTATTACAGTTTTGTTTTCCGTTGTTGATCTATTGAGTGCCATGTCGATGAATGAGCATAATTTAACACGAATATGAGGGGCAAAAAAAAAAAAAAAAGTTACGAATAAGAATTTCATAACTGGACTCTACTGCATTGTTTAGAAGTATAAACAACCATCTAGGGTTGCTTTTTGTGTCTGATACAATATATTTAAAGAATGTGCTAGCTATGTTAATAAACATAGACATCTAAAGTTTAATAAGCATTTATACATTTAATTCCCATTTACATAACGTAGCTGCAACATTACCAATCTGATTTGTCTAGATTTCAGGAATATAAACTAAAATAGCCAAAACTTCGGAGGTGACAATTCTCAATCTAATCCACCAATCCATTAAAAATATCCACCTAATCCAATCCATTTGATCCAAATCCATTTGGATTGATGGATTCATGGATCGATCTATGGATCCAAATGGCAAATTACGATTTGGTACCTATACTTTTTGTATTTTACATTTTGGTACCTAAAATTTAATTTTTATACGAAAAATCTCATTGAAAAATTATGTTTTGATACCTGAATTTTTTCATTATGACATTTTAGTACCTAAACTTTTCACATTTTTACATATTGGTCAAAGGTTGAGGATGTCATTTAGATTCATGGATAATCCACCAATCCACTTGATCTAATCCATGAATCCACCAATCCATTTAATCCATGGATACACCAATCCATTTGCCCCATCTAAAATTTACCATAAGTTCCTCCTCTGAGTTCGCAAGGGACAATATAGAAAGACGCAAAGCAATTTACTTTGGCAACCATTACTAAGTCTACTATATAATGTCAAACTATTACATAGCAAGCAATTTCAAGAATTATGATTGCAGAAAGGGAAAACAGCAACAGATACTTATCCATCAAATGTAGCCGCTATAAAGAAGGTAGAAAGAACAATAAACCAATAGAAAAAGACAGCTAACTATCATTTCCATACTCATTTCATTTGAGAACCTCTGTGCAGGATTAAAACACACGCAATTATAGTTAGATTAATATACTCTTAACATCGCTAGGCAAAGGTACAGCAAGAGCATCAGCTTGTTCATCTCCTCTTTCCTTTCCTGGCAAGTTAAAACTAAACAACTCAGTGTCTCAGTCAGCAACAACTACTTGCTAAACCCATGAGTGTGAATACAAAAGGTCTCGAGTGTCTAGTGCTGACACTAATACTTCACAGTTGCATGAGAGTTGGTCTGATTCGATAATATATATTAGATAATTTCCATCCACATCAACAGTCAATTACACAGCTTCTACCAAGATTTGCAGATGCGCACAGTAATAACAACCAAAGGAGGTCAGCACGTAAGTGTTCAGCACAAATTATTCGACTGGTTGGCACAAAATGAACCCAGAATTGCAACAAAAACCTATAAACCTCAGTACCACTACATAAGGTTAATTAGTAACCTAGAGTGGTCAACAAAAACCCAGAATTGCAACAAAAACCTATAAACCTATAATATAAACCTCAAAACCAAATCAATATGATGATTTAGTAACCTAGATTTGCTTGTCCCTTGGAGCAAAAAACCCAGCTTCAAAAATCAAAGAAACAGAGGAATAAATCAGTGTTCGTAACTACAATGAGCAAAACAAACCTATAACGCAAATCACCTTTCTGATCCCCTTTGACATTGTCTAAAACTACCACGATACACTAATTAATATCAAGAAAATTGAAAGAAATTGTATCCATTCGTCTCCTGGTCACCTTGAGATTGTCGTTGGCCACACACAGCTTCATCCAACTATTCCCAATCAAACGCTCGGCCGGCTCCCAAAATGAGATCGAACCAACCCACCTGAAGTGAAGAGAAATAAAACACCATTCATCATCTCATTGACCAAAGCCTACTAAAGAGAGATACAGGAAGGTGAGAACAAACTCACCCGAGATGCAGAGAACGATCGCCTGAACCTGATGAAGTGATAAAACAAACCCATGTGAGAAATAAAAAGAATGAAGGGATTAGACCAAGTATAGTAAAGAGACGAACTGCAACCATTCGATAGGAAAAGAAGGAACAGTCACCTGAAACAAAAACATAATCTGTGAATCTCGGTTTCCTTCGAGTCCTCTACTAACCTAATAATTCAGCAACTTTATCAATTCGAGATACGCTCACCTCCCAAGATCTCCTTCGCCTACTCCATGAAAACAAAGAAAAATGGAATTGGCTCCTAAAGAAGAGATAAATGAACAACATAAATATTCTGGAAGTAAGAGTTGCAGAGAGATACCAGTCGCTATGGAGGAGGTGATGGTGACGACGATAGCGCCTGAAGATGTCGTTCAGACTGCCCCCTAGAAGGAGAACTCCCCTGAGGATCCTATAATCAACCAAGACCTACTGAAATAGAGAAACAAAATCGTATATGGGATAAAGAAATAGCATATGAAAGACAGAGAATGCATATAAACAAAGTACCTAGGATTACTGAGAGGGCTTTTGCAGTTCCAAAAATTCCACCTCTAGAGGGAAGACTTCTTGCAAAAGGCTTCTGATAGCAAAGCATTTTCCTGGAAAAGAGACTGCGCATACCAATCTGATAAGAGAAAGAGGAAATGACCCATCAAACAAAATGAAAAAGAAAACTCACCAGAGAAAAAACAATCACCTCAAGCAAAAACACAAATCTGGGCATCTACCTCTCCTATGGATCGTCTCCTCTGAATCCTCTTCAAACACATCCTTCAAAGCCAGTATGTATATAATGCAAAAAAGCAATGTTCAAGAAGACGCTAGGCGCTATCTAGGCGAGGAGGCACCGCCTAGCGCCCAGGCCGATTAGTCGTTGCCTAGGCGAGATTAAACGTTGAAAAAAATATAAGATATATAAGCCATATTACACAAAAACTCAAGTCGCCATATCATTATTCATGCATTCATATACACATACAACCCTTTTCCATTATCCCAAACATCCCAAGTCGCCAACCATGAGGAGGGATCTCACTGTTGGTCGATGAGTGGAGCGGCTGGTCAAATGGAAATGGGTAATAAAATAGGGATAGGGATTTTCACAAAAAAAAAAAAGAACTACACTTTCCTCCTTTATTAGTTGTTCTGGGCGTCGCCCACCAGAGTGAAAACTCGCCTCCAAATGCATAGGTGCCTAGATCAATCGCCCAGGGCTAGACAAGGCGATTTCCTCCTGCCTAGCTATTAATCGCGCCTAGGCGAGAGATTAATCGCGTCTTCTTGAACACTGAAAAAAGAAAAAACCTCAAATCAGAGAAAAATCAGCCAAATATGAAAGTGCTTTGAGTTTGGAAGAAAATAAAATATTCAGAAGATTGGGGATGAAGGAGAGGATTTGAGATTGAAAATAGCGAGAGAGTTCAAGCAAGAGAAAGTGCATATGGATTCAAAGTGACGAAAGAATAACAGAAATCTCAATTAGGAAAACACAGAAAACAGACTTTGGGGATCTGAGTCTCCTCCAATTCCTCTCTGACCCTCTCAAATTTGCCAGTTGATTGCTCCAAGCTCTACTGGTTTTCGAAAAGGAGAAGAGAGCCAAAAGTAGAGAGAAAACAAAAGATGGTCAATATAAACCATTATGAAAGAAACAAAATTTTGAGAGACAAAGGATCAATCACGTAAAACCAGTATAGAACCTGTGAGTCTGGGTATTCTTCGAATCCTCCCTCCCTCTTCCAAATAGCTCCAGATCCACTCCAGGACCCTCAAATCCCTCTCTTGATAGCTCAAAACAACTGAACAAACGAAATCAGGGAACTCCGATCGATCCACTGAAACAAACGAAATACAAAGCATCCATATAACGACTCACCATAGGAGCTTCGTAGTTGAAGGATGAATCAACTCTGATGCTGAGCTCGGATCCTTCTGTTCCTGAGAGAGGCGATGAACAAACCTGAAAAAAGAGAATCAAAGAAACCCCATTAGATAGAAGGAGAGAGAATGAACCCAGTCAAGAAAAGGAAGAGAAAACGAATGCAAAGAAAGAGGAAGATATATTTCAAGAGAGCTTCCCCTGACCTCGATGAGAGAGAATATAGTACTACGGGTAGATTAGGCTAACCTAACCAAGCAAACAAACAAAATATCTCTGCCAACCGTCAATCTCATTTTCTGCTTCCCTGACCAAGCTTCTATCCCCTCATATTTTCTTTTTTCTCCCTCTGCTTCTCTCATCAGTCCCCTCAATTACCTTTCCAGATTCCGAAAGTAAGCCCAGTCTACATCATCATGACATACCTCTCTTCTCTCTCAGCCTCTGAAACCGGGTACGACTTCCACCTCTCAACCGCTCCACACCTCAAAGACCCTGACCCTGCCCTAAGCCACTTGCAGGGACACTGAGCAGCACAACTCCTTTCAATAAACCCTTTCAATCCCCCCAGGTCCCACCTTCTCTGAACCTCCCACCCACAAAATCGTCGATCGCTTGCAAAGACACTGACACAACTAGCAAGGAAGATAGACCGGCTGCCTGAAATCCATCCAATCACGCAACTGTGCAGGCTCCAGTCATAAAGAGTGCTCTGGTGATGAACGCATTCGAGAACCCCCACCGATGCAACAGACAAACACAGCCAACGACTGTTCCATCTCAACCAACCCGCCAAACACCCGTCTGATTCCAATGAGCCCTCACCCAACTCCAGCCCACACAAAGAAAGCTTCCGGGTTATAGCAGTCTGCGTGTGCAGTGCGAGCTCCTGCAAAGTGAGATTTCTTCTTTCAATTTTTTCACCCTCACTCCTCTCTATAATTCCAAAAAATAAAAAGTTGAAGAAAGACTTAGATCTATGTTTTAGTAAACGTACTTACTTGCAAGTTGGTTTTGTTTGGCTTATATTGTTTTGCTAAATAATCATAGTTAACAGCCTTCTTTGCATTATTAGAGATTTGTACAAGTTTTGGTCTAAGCTATTATTTTGAAAAACGTTACTTTTTCTATAACAATGTTATTGTTATAAATTTGAATGAAAACATATTATGTGACTTTTTTTTTGGTAGAAAGATAGACACCTTAGGGCGTCTAATTCGTATTAATCACTATACGATCAATGGCAATGCCAATACAATCATATCGTAGCAAATGACCCAACATCGGATCGCACACATCGAAAGAAAGTGTGCCAAAATTAAACAGATGGCCTTTGTTTGCCAAAAAGTCAACGGCATAATTGCCTTCTCTAAAGACATGGTTGATTTTCGCCTCCCATTCCCGCTCCAACAGTCTGCCAAACTGCTCTGCAAGCGCACCATGTCTGTGGTCAATATCCCTGCAGTCTTTGATAATAGCAATGGCCGTAGAGGAGTCGAGGTTCAGTTCCACTCTTCTAAAGCCCGGGTTCCATGCTCGTTGAAGCCTGACCACAGCTCCCTTAATTCTGCTCCCGTGATTGAACATATTCCAAAATTACATGTAAATGTATCAAAGCACCTCCCCAAATGGTCCGTTAGGAGCCCACCTGCAGCAGCCAAACCAGTCGAACCAGCAACCGATCCGTCTGTTTGCAGTTGGATCCAATTCACATGAGGGGGTTGCCAGGCCACCGCTTTCACCACTCTGTTGATTGCAGACGGGAGATAGCTTTTGCTGGCATTCAAAATCTCTTGCTTGTTAATCTAAATCCAAGCATTAGCTCTACGGATGGTCCCTTTTTCGGAAAATTTATTCCCTTCCATCACCTTTCGTTTCGCTGTTTCTAGAGGATCCAACAAATTAATCCAACGTTAATTCCAACCTCATCATCTTTAAGGTTGTCGCTGAGGCAGGTCTGGAAGTTCACGTTTGGCGACTTGGTTGTAATCATGTAACTAAAATGTGTCCAAACTCCTTCAACCCTTCTGCACTTTCTCAGGATATGTTTTGTAGTTTCCTCTGTCCCAACACAGGCAGAACAATTGTTGTTGTTAATTAGCTTTCTTTTCTCTCTTTGCTGATTCATCATGAGTCTTTCGTGGCTGGCGAGGTTGAGGAAATGTTTCACTTGACTAGGTCCCTTCCAGTGCCATAGATCCTTCCACATCTTCTCGGGTTCCTCCTCCAATGAATCTGTCACCAGTTTGTAGGCAGACTTTAGCCTAAATCTTCCATCCCTCTCCCCTCACCAGATCGTTGTGTCTTCTCCCCCATCAGGCCTAGGGACATCTTTTCATGCAATGTGTAAAAGAATATCATTAGGATGGAGGTGGTTCAGCCTTGCCCAATCCCACTCTCCTGACTCAGTAGTACACTCTACAACTAAGGATCTTCTTTCTTCATCTGTCAGGTCTCTCAGAGTGTACTCTTCAAGGATGACTCCCTTTTCTACCCAAGGATGTGTCCAAAACCCTGTTGTCTGACCATCTCTAACACTCCAGATCAAAGCTTTCCTCATAATTGGCATGGCTTTCAGGATCGCTTTCCATAGCGGGGAGAGATTGCTCTTCTTCATTGGTCGAATGTTGCCCTCCTCATGATGGAAGTACTTGTGTTGGAACACCTGGACCCAAAAATCATCACCCTTATTCAGTAGCCGCAAGGCAAGCTTAACCATGAAAGCTTGGTTGATAAACCTAGCAGGCCTAAGGCCGAGACCCCCAAGATTCTTAGGTTTACAAATAGTATCCCACGAGAAAAGGTGAACCTTCCTCTTTTTTTCATTCCCACCCCACACAAAAGTTCTAATCATCCTATCAAAACAAAAATATTATCAGTGATGTGTTATTTAGGAACAAAACTCGACTGATTTTTATGGATCCATTGGGGCATAAAGCGCTTAAGCTTATTAGCTAAGCACTTGGCCACCACTTTATAACCCACGTTATAAAGACTAATTCGGCGAAATTGATTCATGGTGAAAGGGCTATCAGTGTTAGGAATAAGAGTCAAGAGAGTCTCATTTGTGAGACTGATTGTGTTTGGATCTCTGAAGCATTTCACCACGAAGCTGTAGAAGGTCTAAGAAGGTAGCCTACTTAAGGCCGATAACAAGAGTGGGTTGTTTAGCAGAGATGACATGTCAGCTGAAAAATGATGGCATGCTTGAGATTGTTAAATTTGAAGCAAACCGCCAAACCATAACCATGAGCTTACCCCTACTCCAATGAAACCTATGTTGAGATCCAACAGGAAGCTAAATTATGCTAAAAAACCAATACAGGAGGCAATTGCAAATTCACATGTTGATGCAACAAAATAGCGAACACATATTTTTCTATCAGCTCTTGGTGAAATGACATTGTTGAATTCTTTTTAAGAAACTTATTTTGAGATTTATTTTAAAAAAATTTCGATTGATAACCTTTTGGAATGGATTATGCATGTAATTTACTTTGAGATTTATTTTGGCACAATTCCGAGATATTACATTATTTTGGGAGATTGATTGTGGTGGTTGTTGATTGTATGGTGATTACATGTTTTAGTTGATAAAATGATGTTTCAATTCACATAATTATAGTCATAGGACTTAACACTAAAATGAAAACAATGAAGTTATAGTGTGCAAACTCTTTATTTTATGCAAAAAAAAAATGTCCTTTGAATTGCACGTGACAGAGAAAGGAGAGAAGGTGATAAAATTTTTCTTTCTTTGTACAAACACCCCGTTACTGCTATCCCGTTAGAATTTGTGGTAGCTTTTAAATGGGGAATCAATTAAAACGTAGGAAGAAAAATAACCAATTAGCAACTGACACGTGGACTAGTCGTAGGAACCCCTACAACCCAGTGTGCAGGTAAATAACGTCCAAATTTAAATACTGCATGCATACTGGTTTTATTCTTCTCTTTTTTTATCAGGATGGTTTAGTAGTTGATCCGGTATCATTCATAAACCGGCGTTTCATATTAGTTGTCACCTCGGATTTCAATAAAAAATTGATAATTTCCTTTTTAATAAGTTCATGTTATCAGCTAAAGCTTTTAATTTTGACAACATATTAGCTTAATCTTTTTACAATACAAAATAGGCAAAATACCACTACAACAAACTGCCTCTTCTCTGATGAATTTTTCTGTGACATGGTCCATTTCATCACATAAGATACACTTTACGTGACAAGTTTGATTGATTGTCACATAAAAATGAAAAATTTTCATAGACTATTAAAAATACCTTATGCAACAAAAAAATATTTTACTGTGACGAATTTTAGCGTTACCTAAGGTTAATCATTTTTTGTAATGAATTTTTTGTCACATTTCTGTAATAACTTTGTGACACGCTAAAACAAAACACCAAACTGCGACCAAGCATAATCGCAGTCCGGAAATGCAGTAACAGGCAAGCTCTAATTGTCAACCCGGGTCTAGATCTACTGCTTACTCCGTGTATATCTGTTATCTAGCAAATTAAGTTGATTGATTGTTGATTTAAGTAAAAGCAGTAAGAAAGCAGGAAATGGTTCGGTTTTCTAAAGCAAAGGAAGAGTCACTCGGGAATGAGTCCCCCTAGCTCCTTAGTTAGGTCACAGTTGTAATTACTTTTGGTTGCTTTACTGCTGATTATACTGCGGAAGATCTGACAGTGGCTTGGAATCTCTTAAGCTGACCAAGCCCTCTCAGTCAAACTACCCGGCAGAAGACTAGTCTTCACCAGGATAGAACACAGAGGCAATTAACACAGAATTCCACTACTGGAATTGGATTCCAGTACAAAGTAGTGAATCGACCAACTCTCATATAATCAATTCACTACTACCGAATGAAGAAGCTCTAACAACCTAATCGGATTCTATCTATCTCAGGTTGCAGCAGAAATCAATAAAAAATGATCAAACTTCAATTGACTCCATCAATACTCTTCAATCGATTATAATCAAGCAATATCACAATCCAAACGTAATTACAATCAAGATTCCTAACACATGGAACTAGGGTTCTTCATACCCAAGTGAGAGAAAGTTTTACTCCATAGAGAGAGTGGAAAATAGAAATCAGAGTAGTCATACTCATAAAGATGAGGAAAATCTTCTCTGGGATGTCAATCTTCACTCCCGGGGATGCAATATGGGCTTCAATGGTGAGAAATCCACTCCAAATAACTCCTAGGGTTTGTTCTTCGCACTTTCTCTCTCTAAAACTCTGTTTTTGCTCCAAAAAGTCGACTCCCTCTCCTTTAGCTCGAATCTGCCTCAAAAACCATATTCTGGGCAAAACACGATGGAGGGCACGGCCGTGTTTGCCTTTGCTTATCCGTGCCCTTGCCACGTGTTAAAAACACACCCGCGTCGGCCAAAACACGGTCGTGCCTAAATATGGACACGACCGTGTTTTTCTTTAGGCCATCCCGTGTTTTGCTTTTCAATCAGTTCAGCTCTCGCACATAAAAACACTGGCGTGCCTGTTTGTGTACACGACCGTGTTCTTCAGGCCTCCTGCCCGTGTTTTGCCCCCAGCTAGACCGAACGACCTCCAAACGCCCCGAATCTCGTGCTTATCCTTTCCTTCGACGTCTGGGACCTAAAATATGACAAAGTAGCACAACCCAGCATAAAAACGGGCCAAAAATACACGACTACTAGCCGCAAACGGATAAGAACTAAGGGTGGAAACATGTGCAAATACATCGTTATCAAATTCCCCCACACTTAACCGTTTGCTTGTCCCCAAGCAAACCAAGTTAGACACAAGGTAAGATCAAAACGTTTTAATTAAGCAGGCTTTAGGGACATGTCATATCGGCACAAAACACGTGAATGATACTGGCTTTTGATCATTAACACATGGGCAACCTCAATGACAACCTAGACAACCACCACAGATGACATTCGAGTGCAGCAAAGTCGAGCAAAGGAAGAGTGTCCCTTCTGTTCACCAACCAACATGGACTTGACTCAACCACTTAATCGAGACAGTCACTTCATGCACAAAGCTCAAGATATCAGAATTAAGACCGAGCAATCTAGGTCCTCAACGGGGTAAAAAGTGTAGAAAATATGAGGAAATAAATCGCTCACTCTCAACCGGTGGGGTCAGTACAGAATTTTGATGCAAGATGTGCATACTCATACTCTCAATTCCTAACGTCACTTCACCATGATGGCAGCCTCTAAATGTTAGAGTTCACATATCGGGTGTCATCACTAACTAATCCGGAGGTCTTAGATACAGGTTCAGATGACTGGCTAGGGTCATGGACATGGGGAAAAGGACTTTTAGGTGGTGGAAGTATTCATAGCACAAGGTTCCACAATTCCAAACCCAACACAATCACAGTCAATCAAACTACTCTTTCTTTGTGCCATTCTGCATTACTCACATTCCTTAGAGCACAAGAGCGAAGGAGGTCACATAAATGTTAGTATTTCCAAGCCACACTGCTAAGAAACACTACTCAATGGGCACTATTCAGATTTTGGGTGTTGGCCCTCTTTTGCTTTCATTCATTTTTTTTTTCTTTTTTTTTTCATTTCTTGAGAGAACCACCACCTATGCACATTTTTCAAACACATGCCCAACTTTTTTTAAGAACTATCTCCAACCCTCACATTATATTTAGTAGAAACAGTAGAGAACATGTAAAAACCACTCTGTGGAACCTTCTAAAAGATTCAAAGGGGTGATTTTCCATTGTAGACCGATAGAAAGGATAACACACGGCTCAAAGGGCTGACTAGGGGGTATGATACATCAGGACAGTCAATTTGTTCATGGGCTAATCCTATGCCTCCATCATCTTAGCTAATGGCAACGTGAATGCTACACATCATGGAAGAGGGAACTATTGCACAAGAAAGAAACGAGCAGGCACAAATCTCACATGGCTACCTATATTCTCTATCTCTCATTATGATTCCCTGAACTAAATGCATAAATGAGTGTTAAGAGCAAGTGATCAATCCAAGTCACAGTTGGAAAACTGAACCCCTACACAGTTCTACTGCACGTCTAAGTCATCATTATAGGCTGTCCTAGTTACAATCAAGTTGTCGTGCATTAATTCAAAAGCCATTCGATTCACCAATCAAATCCACAGTGCCAATACGATCAAACATCAAGCAAACAACAGTACTTGGAGCCCTCAAATCTTGAGATTTTGAAAGCGGACTAGACTCCAAGCACACATATATACGTTCCAATGAATACAAAGAACCCCCCACACTTAAATGCGACAGTGTCCTCAATGGAGTAGAGGGAAGGGGAACGATGTTACCGTGAAATGAGATCAGGAACGAGGACTGGAAGGCCGAACAGTCAATAGCAGGGGACTAGAAGGCCGAACAGTCAATAGCAGGGGACTGGAAGGGGGACCAGTCCAAGGCACAGAGTTAAAGTCATCAAAAGACACACACTGGGTGAAAGAACCGGAGTTCAAAGTGGACAAACCAAAAAACAAACGAAAGAAAAACAAGCCTTGGTGGGGTTGCCTCCCCATAAGCGCTTCTATTACGTCTTTAGCTGGACGGTGGCTCCTAAGTTTCGGTCCACCCCATAACCTCCTTGAAGTTGAGGTTCTCGTCGATGATATGGAGTCTCAAGTCACAAGCAGGTGATGTGACAGGTGATGAAGATGGCTCGTGACCTTGGGGAAGATGAAGTCTCCACTCTCGAGACCACTTCTTCGCGTTTGCTCGTCTCATTTCCCCAAACCAGATAAGATATCATCGATTGACCATTATCGCATCCACCAAGAGGGATTGATGCTGATGTGATCTTGGTCTAGCAAAGAGACATTGCAAATGGGTCCTTGCCAAGAAGCTCCTCGAAGTTTGGTGGAGATATCACATGTAACATAGGGCCGGTGCAAGCCTCTTCCACCTTAACTTCATCCTCAGCCTGGACGCCAATTGCTTCCTCAACCCCCCTTCCTTCTTCACAATGTGGTATCTCCCCTTGGAAAGGTCAATAACTTCCTCTTCTTTTCTTTCTTCCTCATCCTCCACAACTTCTTCCCTCACCCTTTCTCGCTCTTCTTCTTCTAGCACAGATTGGAGAGCAAGTCGCCTAATTTTTCCAATGAGATCATCTTGCATCTCCTCGCTCGGGCCCAACATATCAGAGTGGAAATGGGGACAGTTGTAATCTACCACCAGAGGATACACTTGATCATGATTATCATGGGAGCTTTCCGTGACAACTTCT